CCCACTCCCCCTGCTTGTTTTCCCTCTCTCGCTGTCTCTCTCTCTGTCAAATAAATAAATAAAATCTTTAAAAAAAAAATTAAAAATCCTGAGGTGGGGATATTAGTCTGGATAATCCAAAGAGGCCTAATATAATCACAAGGATCCTTATAACAGGAAGGCAGAAGGGTCAGAGGACAAAGAGAAGTTGGGGTGATACACTTTGAAGACAGACAATGGCCATGAGCCAGGGAATGCTGAGGACCTTGAGAAGTTGGAAAAGGTAAGGAAACAGATTCTCCCCTTAGCATTTTCTGGAAGGAATGCAGTCCTGCCAGCATCTTAATTTTACCACACTAAGACCATTTAGACCTCTAGAACTGTAAGACAGTTTGTTGTTTTAAGCCACTAAGTTTGTGGGAATTTGTTACAGCAGCAATAGGAAATGAATATACTTGCCTTTTACCTTTCTCCTACTGACCTGCACATTTTGTTTTAAATCCATCCTACTCCATTATCGTTAGGTAAGTTTCCATATTTTCTTCTAAGTTTTAAAGCTTGTTTTTCACATTTAGATGGCCATAATCCATCTGGAATTTATTTTTTGTCTTTGGAGTAAAGCAAGATTCTAACTCTGTCTTTTTCCATGTAAAGAGCCAACTGTCCCAACACTATTTATTTAATAGCTCCTAATATCCCCATTGTAATGCTATTTCGGTCACCTTCCAATTCCATTATTCCTGTGAAATGCTCTCCTCTTCCACTGTTCGTTGTCTCTCCTTGCACCAATACCCACCATCTTAATTATTATTGCTATAAGTGCAATATATACTTGGGAGGACAAGTGATCCTGCCTGTTGTTCTTAAAAATTATCTTGGCTATTTTGGATCCCTGTCTTTTCCAAATCTAGGATAAGCTTCTCATGTTTTCCCATCCCACCCTAAAAGACACTCTCCTAGAAAGAAAAAAGATTCTGTAAGCATTTTGCCTGAAATTGTATTAATTTGGAGAGGATATTGAGTCTTCTCAATCTATAAAAGGTTACATCTCTTCATTTTTTAGGCCCTTCCAAAAAGTCTTCTAAATAATTTTCCCCATAAAGGACTTACTTGCACTGTGTTAGATTCTTAAGTACTTTGTACTTTAATTGGCATTTACCTTATATCCAAAAACTTTTTAAAACTTCATTATTAACTCTAACAATTTATCTGTACATGCTTTTGACAATTTTGTTTCTTCTTTATGCGTTTTTTTTTGTTTTTGTTTTTTGTTTGTTTGTTTCAATCTTATTCATATGACTGGGGCTCCAGAATACTATTGAAAAGACATGGTGACAGTAGAGACCTTTGTCTTCTGCCTGAATTTAAAGGGAAATGCTTCGAATGTCTCACTAGAAAGTGTGATGTTTACTCTGCAGGGTTTTGCCGGCCTTCATTTTTAAAATGTACAAAAGAGTTAATACTATTAACTCAATATGGATTAGGTGAAAAGTTTAACAGTAACCAAACTCTTCTACACTTTATAAACTCATTACTTCCTTTCATTCTGTGGCTGGACTGACAGTCTTCTACTATTTATAGCTGTGGCCCTTATTCAGCACTCTTGCACAGTCTTGCCAATTCTTATTCTACTTCTTAATATCATTTATGTCATCACAGTTATAATTTCATTTGAAGTTTTTCCACAGCCTCTTGTTACAATGTTTCTTTTGCTTTGCCTGCTGATAGCTGCCAGGATTGGATTATTACTTCAAAGGAGGCCAACGTCCATGCCAGGCCACCATGTGGAGACACTACAGAAGCAGTGAGCAGAATGCTGGTTGCATGGAAACACAATAAAAGCACGTTACCCTACACACTACAAGGCCAATGCCTGAAGCGTTTATGTAGGCTCCCCATGCTCCCCCTGCTCCTAACCAACTGTTCTGGGGGCTGTTCTATGGCATGACCTTACTGCAAGCTAATATACTATGTTATTCCCTCATATCATAGGAGTCCTAATACTGGATACATTGTTTTTCATGTCCAATTAGGAATATACCCAGGATACTTATTTGCAACAGAACTAAAGGCTGACAAAGATTTGAAAATACCTGTTCTAACAGTTTCTTTACAGATGAGTTAACGGAGGTACAAATATATTACATGATTTTCCCAATGTCACCTAAAGTGAGAAGCAGAACTATCAACTATGCTCCCAAGGTCCTTTCACTGTAAAATGACTGCAAATTATCCATGGACCTCTAGAATGTAACATATGTCTGGACAAACAGAAATTAGCCTGGAACAAACAGTCATTTGTAAAACATACTGATTTTGTATGAAGATGAAGTCTTTAAGACGCCTCAGTATTGGGCACCTGGGTGGCTCAGTAGTTAAGCATCTGCCTTCGGCTCAGGTCATGATCCCAGGGCCCTGGGATCAAGCCCCACATCGGGCTCCCTGCTCGGCGGGAAGCCTGCATCTCCCTCTCCCTCTCCCCCTGCTTGTGTTCCTGCTCTCGCTATCTCTTTCTCTGTCAAATAAATAAATAAAATCTTAAAAAAAAAAAAGACACCTCAATATTATGCCATTATGACTCTTTAACAGTAATTCACAGTATGTCTGGAAATGCCAACTACAGGCAACACCTCCAGAATTCTGCAGTTGTAACTAATTAAAGCAAAATCAAGAGGTTGACTCATATATATACGTAAAGTCAACTCAACTGGACAGAAACATTTCCCAGAATTAATCCAGAATCACACTGGACTGTGGCTTAAGCAGTAGCATTAACAAATCTGGAGAAAAAGGCCAGGGGAGAGGCAACTGAATCAGAGAAGCAGGATAGGTAGAGTGTGTCTAGCATTTTCTAGGGAAAGACAACAGAATTTGGAGAATGCACACACCTGGGACCCTCAGGAGTCTCTTTTGTGGGGAATGTTAGCTGAGTAAACTAATCTCAAGATATCTAACTTCATTTTACCTAAAGCTTATGCTCAACAAATAACCTTCTGAGGACTAATTCCGTTTCCCCTGTTCTTCTAGAGAGGGAGAAAAACGCTCAGGACAGAAATCTCAAGCATTCCAGCCATGAGCATCCACCTACTACAGATTACTGTATTGACCTGGTTCACATATCAATCTCCTAGGTCTATCAACTCAGGGTGTCAGAGCCACCAGGGGGAAGCATGGTTGACTTCACCAAGAAAATGTTACCTCTGTTAAGGCCTCTTCATGGTCAGTCTGGGTGTCTCTGCTGGGATGCCCACCGTAGCTCACATTCCCTCCATTTCAAAACCAAACCTACTGCCTAAATGTATCTTGAACAAAGACTTTTCAAAGATTTAAAACACTGCATGTAAAGGCATTAGGAAGACAAACGTGTTGTCCTTACATAATCTGAATATATTCTTTAATCAGTTCTTGGAGTGAAAAGGTTATATATATATAGCTCCCAGGTCCTTCCCAAGCGACACCTTCACTTCACTGCTTGGGTTCCACAGAACCAAAACAGTGACATGCAACTGCACAGTAAAACTTAAAAACTTTTTCTGTTTTCATTCTTAATTATTCACTTTTGACTTCATGAATGTAAAATTGTAATTCTTCAAAGAAAAACAGTAATACTCAATAATTCTGACTGTTTCTAAAATGCCCTCCCTAGAAATTTAGTTGGTTAGCTTGCTGAATTAGATAGGAGTCCTGCAAAATCCTTTCAAGATGGTACTTTCATATTTAGAACTACATATTTTGCTTTTAGTTAATACCAAATAAGTATCTGTCTGCTGGTTTGACCACAAAAATTGCTAAGAGAATTCCTTTCCCAGTAAATGTGGACTGCTGGTCCATGCCTTTTTCAGCTTTATCAATACTTGGGAGAGACTAACCAGACCGCATTCTTTTTTTCTCCACTGGTTTTTGTCCAACAGACAGGAAGTATCAGTAGCCACTTAGTCTTTCCCAGTTGGTGTCTAAAGGGCCACTGAGAGAGACCACAGACTGTTTCTATTCTTGTTCCTCACCCAAGACTCTATTCTTAGCCTGATACTAAGAATACTCTCTCCAGGAATGTCTTGTGAAATAAGACTACATTGCTTAGGTTGGGATCAAAGTTTCTGAGTATGATCATCATCTCTGGAGTCAGCTCTGGTTGAAAGGTCTGTCACTCCTACCATTATGCAGGGCTTCAAATCACCTCTGTGTAAACCTCAGCTTTGACTAAATGCTCTGAAGAGAAGAAATGATCATAATTAGACATCTTGAAAATATCCCAGATCTTCATTACTTCCTCTGCATAGACCCTATAAACATGGAGCCCAGAACTGATGCTGCAAAGTAGTAATCTTGTTTTGCTCCAATTTAAACTTCTGAGTAAATAGGATAGAAAGGAGAAACTGCTTACTCTACAAATGTGGGTCTCCAAGGTGACCCAGGTATCTTTGCACACACCAGGCAGGAAATCCCTAGTTCCCCCAAACAAAGGTTTGAAATCAGTATCAGTAGCCATATTAAGACCCATGCCTCAAAGTAACATTCTACACCTGAGTAGCAAAGTAGTTGTGTGTCTTACCTAGAACAATAAAATGATAGGGCTATTGTTTTTATTAAGCAGCTGCTACAATTACAGCCAGAATTTACAGTTAATTAGTAGCTAATATTCAAGGAGTGCTCACCATGTGCTGGGCATTTAATAATCATCATCTCATTCAATATCCCAGTGGCCTTACAAAGTACTATTATTTTTGATAGATGAGGAAACTGAGTAACTCTATTAAATGTCATCCAAAATGGTTAAAGTATCAAACTGGGATTTAAGCCCAGGTCTCTACATCCTGTGTTTTGAATTCTTGCCTAAAAAAAAAATATGTATCAGTCTACATTTTGGTTGGATTTCATGAGTGAATCCCAATTTTACAGTCCATGAATAAATTATTCATATTTTTATATTTACCCATGTATCACTTCTTCCAATGTCACATCATTCATGGTAATTACACCGGACAAGAAAAAATCTTACAATTATGCATACTTACATAGTCAATGCGCTTGAGAGATTTAACTCTCGATGTTGGGCAGCCACAGGAAGTAAGGTCAGCATAGAGGCCTTCTTCTAACACACACTGGTTATTAGAAGTGTCCTCTTGGTAATACAGGAGCCAGCTTAAAAACAAGCAGTGAGACATTCAGTCAAATTGCATCAGTTGGCAGTGTGGGCTCATCATCATGCTGTGGGAACTGGGCGAGGAGTAGGACTTAAAAGTCATGGTGCAGCAAACATTCAGCATTGGTTTAAAGAAATAGCTACAACTATCATTTACTGACTGCTTACCCTGTGCTAGACATGGGTTAGATACGTAACCTGTATTATTACACTGTGTCCTCAATCCTATGAAGTAGAAACACATCCTTATTTTTTATAGGCAACAAAACTAAGGATTAGAAAGGTTAGGTGATATGCCCAAGGTCTCCTCAACTGTTAAATGACAGAGCTAAAATCTGAAACAAGACATCTCCTTTAGGCTAATGATATTAGCTTCATGTAGTGCCTTCAAGTACAAAACCCTGGGATCGATTATAGTGATTATTAAGTACTTGAACAGATTAGAAATTCTTTTAGGAAAAACAATCACTTGTATCCTTATTTAATGATGGGCTTGCTGTCAGTCGGGGAGTACAGAAACTAGACTCATAAAATCACACAACAGTATATAAAAATCTGTCACCTGTACATCTGCTAGTGATTCTTTAAAAAAGAAATATGCCCATTAGAATCTTTGATAGTAATTATCTTCAATATATCACTCGTCAGAAGTTTGGTTAGGAAATGCCTTTTTGAAAAGAAGGAGCCCAAGGGAGAAATGAAGGGGCTATTATTACTTCCCATCCAGTGTGTATAAGTTCTAGCCCCGCACTCTCAGACCACCAGAACTGTACTTGTGCTCAACCGGCTTAACTCTGGATCACACAGAGATGCTCTGTAACACTGTAATTTACTGTCATATCTGCTATGTAATTAGGCATTTTATCAAACGTTCTCAACATGGTAGGCATGGAGTTTCAGCCCTTCATATGAATCATTTATTTGGTCCTTATAAAAATCCTTTGAGGTAGGTACTGTTATTATCCCTCCTTTACAGATGAAAAAACTGATTTTGGATAGTAATCCAATTCATTTAAGGTTATGTATCTAGGAAGTAGTGGAACTGGGCTTAAATCCAGGTCTCCCAAATATTCCAGGTACTGAAGCAACTGTCAGAGTTCCTGTATTCTTTTATTAAACTGCAGTTTAATAAACTACACATAAATATATATACATATATAAAAATATATATATACACATATATAAAATGTATATTCCCTACATAAAGTGAACATATGACTAATTTGTCCTAGATTTCAGTGTCAGGGAAAAACACTTTCCTCCGGAAAACCTTCAGTACTTCCATGAAAATATATCTTATAATTTCTTTCATCTTAGTCGAGAAGAAACTCAGAGCCAAATACTAGTAACAAAATTATTTCAAGTGCCCAGTATACACTTCTCTCTCACTAAAGAGTTGCAGATAATCTAACTTACAGTGTCCTATTTTACATGTTTTAATACTATAAAAACCACATCCTTTTTGGAAGTATAAAAATAACAACATGCACAGAGAAGTTCAAACTAGTAAGAGCTACAGAAAAACTAGGAGGGAAAGACTGGTGAAATTAGAGTTCATTAAGAAGGTTGACAGAAGGGGGGCGCCTGGGTGGCTCAGATGGTTAAGCGTCTGCCTTCAGCTCAGGTCATGATCCCAGGGTCCTGGGATCGAGCCCCACATCGGGCTCCTGGCTCAGCCGGGAGTCTGCTTCTCCCTCTCCCTCTGCCTCTCCCACTGCTCATGCTCTCTCTCTCTATCTCTGTGTCTCAAATGAATAAATAAAATCTTTAAAAAAAAAAAAAAGAAGGTTGACAGAAGGAATGGGGATGGACTGACCCCCTTAAAGATATACTTGGTTTGGTATTAAATGGGGGCCACAAGCTTACATGCCTGTAGGAGGCCAGGCAAGTGTTGTACGTGAGTAGTGTACCAGGTTAAAAAAAAAAGTGGGAATGTAACCTATGGTACATTGGAATCACATATGCCATTTACTTCACACTAGCTAATTACTGTGAAAGGTGAATGCTTCTCGAAGTTTTAAAATCTTCTGATTTTTTTTTTTAAAGATTTTATTTATTTATTTGACAGAGAGAGAGAGACAGTGAGAGAGGGAACACAAACAGGGGGAGTGGGAGAGGGAGAAGCAGGCTTCCCGCCGAGCAGAGAGCCCGATGTGGGGCTCGATCCCAGGACCCTGGGATCATGACCTGATCGAAGGCAGACACTTAATGACTGAGCCACCCAGGCACCCCAAAACCTTCTGATTTTTTTTTAAAGAGGTGAAAAAACCCTAAACCAAAATATGGATATTTTTTAACATAGAGTGTAGGCCAAACAAACAACACCTGCTGGCTAGCTTCCCCTGAAACTTAGAGCCGTTCACAGAGAGCAGGGTTAGCAAGCTACGGTCTATGGGCCATCTGTCCCCTGCCAGTTTCTGTACAGATCACAAGCTAAGTCTGCTTTTCACGTGCTTAAATGATTTAAAAAAATTAAAAGCGCCTGTGATATGTTGACTATGCTATAGGACTCAAATTCCAGTGCCCATAACTAGAGTTTCACTGAAACACAGGTGCGCCCACTCACTGAGGTACCGACTGTGGCTGCTTTTGTGCTCACAGTGGCAGAGCTGAGTAGCTGGGACAGAGCCTGCAAGGCTACCTGGCCCTGAAAGAAAAGGTTTGCCAACTGACCCCTGGTTTACAGGGTAAGGCAGAAAGTACTCCGCGGAGTAAATGTGGGAAGAGTGGAAGAGAGGGAGGCAGTGTAAGGACAGAATGGGGAATGGGTGGGACAGATAAGACTGACTGATGGTAAATCCTGGAAAAGGAGGCATCTGAACTCCATCAGACGGGTAGGAGAGGATGACTGGGGGATGTAAAGCAGAGTAATAAAAATAGTAAACTGTATTTTGGGACAAATAATTGGGCTACGACCGGTTTGTGGTAAAAGATGGAAGGAAGATAATACTGGAGTGGAGCTAATCAGGAGACTGGAGTTCTTCAAGTAGAAGAACTGATTCAAGAGGAAAAGGAGAACTGATGAATCCAAAATATCTTGAGGAATAAACAGAGAGATTCTGATGAGTTATTAGGTAGATACTTGAAATAGACCTACCACTGAACTGTACACTTTAAAATGGTAAACTGGGGGCGCCTGGGGGGCTCAGATGGTTAAGCCTCTGCCTTCGGCTCAGGTCATGATCCCGGGGTCCTGGGATCGAGCCCCGCATCGGGCTCCCTGCTCCGCGGGAAGCCTGCTTCTCCCCCTCCTTCCTGCTCGAGCTCTCTCTATCTCTGTCTCTCTCAAATAAATAAATAAAATATTTAAAAAAATAAAATAAAATGGTAAACTGTATTTTATGTATATTTTACAATAAAAAATTGAGGAAATATGTATTAGCCTTGGGAATCACATATAGTTCATTTACATCTGAAAAAGACCCAATGTATGGCTGTAGCTCAAAGAATATAAGATTTAATTTAAATTTATTAAAATTAATTTAATTTAATTTTTTAAAACATGACTAAAGCAATCATGGGTCTGACATTTGGTATGTGATCATGGGAAACCCTAACTTTGAAATCAGGAGTCATCTGTGAGATGAGATTGATATATACGTTAAACAAATTTTTTTTTAATTTAGGTGTAATAGGTCTATTATGGACAAAACACTACTTTTTATATAGCATTCTATTATGCTATCCAATAAACATACAATATAAGCATTCAAAATATTTAGAAAATAATCTAAAATAACAGCGAGAAAATAAAATGGCCACAATGTTGCCAAAGTTAGCTAATCAGCATTTTTTTTCTCTGTATTACAAGGTGGCCCATAATACAGGCTAGGCAAAATTAATGTAGACTAATTAGCACTTGACCAATGACTAAAAGACTTTTTTTTAATTCACTGTGAATCAAAAAAAATAAAACAAGTCAAACCTCTGCAAATTTAAAGGAAATTTAGTTATTAAACATTAGTAGAAAACACTCAACAAGCATACTTACCAACCCCGAAGAACTTTAAAAGAACATGGCGTGAATGAAGTCAAATCAGAAATTTCTTCTGTAAAATCTACACATTCACCTTGGAACCCTGGTTTACTGAATGCTTTGAGCTATGAGAACAATAATACAACAATTTAACAGAAAACAACTGTTTGACATTATCACAAAAGTAAATGAAAACCTTTTATTTCTTGTATTTATAAAAAAAATTCAGCAAAATTGGGGCACCCGGGTGGTTTAGTCGGTTAAGCATCTAACTCTTGATTTCAGCTTAGGTCATGATTTCAGGGTCATGGGATCAAGTCCCACATCAGGCTCCACGCTCAGCTTGAGAATTCTGCTTGAGGATTTCTCTCCCTCTCCCTCTGCCACTCCTCCTGCTCATACTCTCTCTAAAATAAATAAATCTTTTAAAAAATTAAAATTCAGCAAAATATGAGTGTTTAATCTATTACCAATGGATCCTTGTTAAGGATGATATTCTCTTTAAACTCCCATTTTTGTTTCCTTACCCATTTCTGGAAATGTCACCATTTATTTACCATTTTCATCCATCTTTTGCACCAGATTCTGGGCACAGAGGCCAGAAAACAATTCTACATATAAGATTAAATCAGAATCCCTCCTCCACTAACATGTGGTCCCTGCCCATTGTAGCAAACAATTATCCCTTGGGCTGAGACTACATGTTTAAGATAAAGAAGCAATTCAGTGCTAAATATGAAGGCAGTTTCAGTTAGTACGAGGGGTGGTTAGTAAGCCTTTTCTCTTCCCAGGTCTCCCTGACCCAGTTAATAAAAGGTTGCAGGAGGGAGCCTGAGCACACACAGGTAAGTGGGCCTGAGGAAGCTCATGAACAGATGGCAGAGAAGGTAACGACGAGAGTAGCAGAAGATTTATGGTGAACAAAGAAAGACATCCATGTCGTGCATGTCAGCCAACGGGCTCCCTTTTACTGTTAAGAATATCCTAAATATAAAGCTTACAGTTATATACAACCACATTTCTACTTTAGTCCTTTTTGTTGAAAAATCCATGAAATCTCAACTGTGATTCCCTTCAGACCAGATACACAATAATCTGCAACTCTAGTGGCCTTGGATCTATGTAATAGGGAAGAAAGAATTAATGAGCCCTATAAATATTTCAAAACACACTGGAGCCTTGAAATAACATGGCCCCCCGGTTCACCGTGCACTGACAGGCCCGCATTGTAGCTAAGAAGGCATCATACTGAGTGCTGGGCAGCATTGTCCTGTCTCTCGCTGGCGCTGTATCAAGAACAAAGCTGCTTTGAACTGCTGATGTTTGCCTCCTTCATCTTCCCAAGAGTCCTCTTAGAGGCTGATAGCCTCCAAGTTCTGAGGAACTGTTTGTGGACTATCTCCTTCTGCTCTGACATCAAAGACCGGCGAAAATCAGGGAGGTGGGAGAACCAACTCCCCTGGACCAACCATGGCTTGGCACAACCTGACTTGCTATTGTGAAACCAGTCTGCATTTGAAGCATTCCAACACCAAGGGACTCCCTGCCTTAAGGAGGTATGACCCAGCAAGTTTCTACCATGATCCTTCTGGTGGATACAGAGGGTAGCAACAAAAAGGAAGTCCAAAATGAGGCAGACTTCTAAAACAATTCCTTGTAGAAGAACAATTCTATGTGTCCAGGGAAACTGCCCCTCATTTCCTTGATAAGAACATATATTTTGGTTAGTCATTTTCCAAACTACGTGTTTTAACTTAAAGGCTTTTAAACAGGAGATCGAGAAGTAAATCACAATTTTACTTCCAAAAAACGTAGAGTAATTTCTTCTACCTGCAAATATCTTAATTCACAATTAAGAGTTGGAAAAGCCTCATGAGAACAGAGGTCACAGCTGTCTTGTTCACTCTGCATCTACCCAGTTTAATTGTTTTTATGTTGCTGAGCTTAAGGTTTATACTTCACTATTTCACCATGAAGCCATGAAATCCAGACAACTGACAATGCAAGTTAAGCATTTTCAGATGGTATATATAGTAACCAACTCTAGTGTTTAGTCTGCTTTCAGACCCAGGAGCATTAATTAAAATACACACAGACACACAAACACACACACATTTGCCATAAAATACTTCTTGGATTTGATGGGTTAATTCTTGCCCAAACTGAAAAATCAGGCTTAATGCTGACCTGAGCTTTTTAAATTTTTACTCCCCAAATGAGATAGAGTGCCATAGGGTTCACCCAAAATTTGATCAATCCCAGAAAAGTAATGCCTCATTTTGATTACCCTACAAATGTCTTAGAATTCTCATAATAATGTTCTGAGAGTGGTCCATATAGAAACCAATTCTGTGCTTATTAATTATAATAATTAAATTATGGTTTCTACTCTTAGTGAAATTAAGTAACAGTGCTTTGGTAAAATTAAGACCTGGGAAAAGGTAGGTGGATAAGGCACATTCTGGTTTCCTTTCAAATCTCTACCAGCCTCGCAAATGGAATTGTACGGATACACACACATACATACATACATACATACACACACACACACACTACCACTGTTTTGCAGTGCCAACTACCTTTTCACATATATTATCTTACTTCTTTGAACTACTGTTTCAGACAGAAACTATCACCATTTTATGATGAACTTTTTACAGAAATGCTTTTTATTATGTACTTTTCATTTATGATATATATGAATAAATATAATAGGTCTTTTATTGGACAAACGGAGAACTCAAAATTTTAATTACTGACCAAACACATAAGTTGTACTCAATTTATTTCACAATATCAGAATAATTTTCTCAATGTAACTTTATTCCAACACTAATTTCTATGAGAAACTTTCTATCGTACCTAAACAAGACTTCCTGCAGCCCTTGGACCTCCCTCACTGTTAAATAAGGAAAAGTCTTGTTTCTATCAGTTTCTATTCTTCTATTACATCACAGTGTCTCAGGATTGTAGTGTTATGTACTCCTAACATCAAATACTTACTACACAGTAATTTTACTTCCCTGGTTACTCATAGAAGGCTTTCTTTACTCAGGAAAGTAGCTCTTCCTATTTCTGGTCTTTGGATTCTATAAAAATGATCTGGTTGCAGCACCACGAAGAGGTGTTTTCCTCTAGTACTCTTCAATCTTATTGACATTTGCCTAAAACTGTCACTTTCCTGTCCCCCATACATGGTAACTGTTAAATATCCTGTGACCACTTTATGTTCAATGTAGCCAAATTATCCAATATAAGAAAATATCCAGTTGCTTTTTTTCTCAGCTAGAACCATGTATAAAACGATTTCCTGGCAATATTTCAGGAAATCAAAACTTCTAATAATATCTGCAAACAGATTTGAAAAATATTCTAGGAAGAAAAAAAATGGTCCTTAGTTGTACCAAAGGGCGTAACTGGTTAGAATTTCTAGAGCACCGTGCCTGACTACAACCTCCCTGAAAACTAAACTCACTTTTATAAAATTTAATCTAGTGAGTGATCTGATCTGCTAAGATAAAGAGATGATACCATTATGAACATAATCCATATTCTGTTAATTTTTTGTTTTCTTTGGGGAAAATAATAAAAAAATTAAATGCTAGCTGCTGTATATGAAACTATATAATGATGCTGTATATTTTGAGTTGGCAGTTAGACTCGGTGACTGGTCTTCAGCCATAGAAAAAAAAGAATCTTCTCAAAGGAGGTGTTCTGTGTCTCAAATAAGACGTATCTCATTATAATATGGTTACACAGCAGAAATGATGTATTTATCAGAGTAACGCTCATGATGTATATTTATCTCCATACACATACATATTCTGGCTTTTCCCTTCTTAGGTTGCTTGAGATTCCCTTTAAAATCACCAGCACTAAAAAATAAAAAAAAAAAACAAAAACAAAAAACAACAACAAAGCCGTCCTTTGACTTGAACTCTGAGAAGTCATTTCCTCCTTAGTCCTCAGGGAAGATTAACTATCCCAACTGACTATGACAGCTATTTGTGAAGAAGAAAATACTTTCTAATCACTGAATGGAACCTCTTTCCCCCCCTTAGTAAAAATAAGCAAAACATTCCGAAAATTTGGTTCAATGAAAATAGTAAGAGCTTTGATACTTTGATACTTGCAGGCTTTGTCTGCATATTAATTATCTGGCTATCATACACCTGTCAGAAACACTTATTTCACAAGGCAATGGCTGAGCCAGATCCAGAAATATGAAGTGGGGCTGATTTCACTGCGTGTTTTTTGCTGCTTCCTCTCTCTTCAAGTTGGACTGGAAATACTATAAAGAAAATCCTCCAAGCAATCTGCCCCAAACAAGGAAGTCCATAAAAACAGAACAGGAATGTAGGAGGGAGAAAACAGAACTTAAAAGAATGTGACTTTTATCTGCACTTAAAACTCAGGAAATGTGCAGTTTGGAATTATCCCTGCTTAACCCTTTAATTGTTAATGTTATGCTGATTCACGTACAAGTGCTTTAAAAGTTCACTGTTGGAGTTTTCAAAGATTTGAAATAAAGATCTCGCAGGAAGTGTCTCCAAATATAACAATTTAATTATATTCAAAAAGGAAATGTTCCCAATAGGCCTGAGCTAATCAGAAAATAAGAAAACCTGAAAACACTATGAACAGAAACATGGTTACAACTAAGCTGACCTTAAATATAGAAACACTGACATGAACATGAAAAATAAACACACGCAGAGAAAAAGATTCAGCATTATCTAAAGCCAGCAAATGTCAAATATTTAAAATTAATCACTCAATTGGGTTTTGACAGAAAATTTTCCAAATTTGTTATTTAAAATGAGACAGAAGCAGCAATGTCTCTCATATCCTCTTCCTCCTATGGCTGTACTGATTATATCATATATCTTTCTCTGATGCAAAATCCTGAAAACAGTTTAGTTGAGTGGAGTCATATGCTAAAAAAAGGCCTATTTTGCTACTTCTAGCTGTGTGAAATGACACTTAAATTCTAAATCTTTGTTTTGTCATCAATAACTGGGATTAATTTTGACGTCACAGAGTTTTTAGAAGCATAAAATAAGCACAATTTGTAGCCCTCAATGGATAATAAACATTAGGCTCCAGAGTATTGCCCAATCCTTCAAATCATTAACACACTAGAAATAAACAAGCAGGGCTGCAATTTTACTAGTGCTTTCAAGAAATATTTGATTTAGGTATTAGAAATACATTTACATAATAAGCATGCCCAGACAGCCATTTCTCTATGTTAAGTCTGCTCCTCCAAAGACAGTAGAACGTGCTGTGCTGAAAGAGAATGCGACATTGAAGAACGGACGGGCAATAGGAAAGGAGTGGCAGAGGTTCAAAATGACCCCAAAGTGGTCAGAGCTAAAGCTCTTTGGGGAGAAAACAAAATGAAATGTGACGAGTCCAGGCCAATACAACCCATAATGGAGGTGGGCACTCTTCTGCCCATAGGTACCAGGTACCATATAAACTGCCCTGCTTCGTAGATATAAGAAATTTATCTGATGGAAAGAGAAAGAATTGAGACAAAGGGCATAAATGCTTTTGGTAAATAGTAAGTTAAGAAAGTTTTGAAACATACCAAATGTGGAGGCTCATTTATTCCAAGTGGTTCCTGAAACATATATTAAAACATTTTAAAAAATTGTAATCATATAATCTTAGTTGTCTTTTTCAAAGTTTTGAAAATACCATTTGAAAAATGGAAAAAAAAAGGTCTAATTTACTAGATTTCTTGAATTGGTTATGACCCTCAAATAACTTACGGGATTATTTTATAATAATTTTAGTATTTAATACTTACTAATTCATTTTGAGTAATGTAGCTGGGAAAAAAAAATATGTGCCTCAAAGTCCATCAGAAAGACAGAGTCTGAGCTTCCTGCCCTTACCTTTCCCACACTATATCATGGGCACCCTTCTTGGGGTGTTTGTTATTATCCACACTGGCCATACTCTCTCATAACTGCTTGACTTTGCACAGGAGGAGATTATTACCTCTTTGAGGATTGCCTTTTCTGCCCCGCTTCATTATCTGGCAAAAGTGCTTTTATCCCTTAAGATATCACTTAATGCAGGAGTGTCATGTGCCCAACTCCCAGGCTCTGAGTGCTCCTTCACTGGTTCCCCCAGCACTGCCTACACACTCCACCTCCTCACTAATCTTACCACAATCAATCACCTACACATCAATGTCCTCTAAGAGACCGAGGCCCGTCAGGGCAATCTTATTCATCTTGTATCTCCAGTGATCAGTGGTGCCTGACATATGAAGCATGAAATAAATTCTGTTAAATGAATGAAGTGATCAAATCACAGTCATCTCATTAATGCGCTCATACCACCTACTACTAGCTCCCTATACAGTCTAAGAAAATACACATGCTATTTCATTTTCTCTATATATTCACATAACATAATCCAGCAGTTTCACTTTGAAAAAGCCTGTTTCACATAGTCAAGTGTATGCCATTATATGCTCTGGAATTGGTTATGGTCATCATTCTTAACTCACCAGCTGGATAGGTCGTATTGACATGATTATATTATTTGATCCTCCCCAGTCAAAAAAGCATTTGTATTTCCCTTTCTCTAGAATGTACTGTTCTCCACAAAAGAACTTCTGCTGGTAGGCAACCCATCTAGTAGGGGCGGGTGGGAAAGGGAAAAAGAACAGAGGTGATACAGAATCGAGCAACCAACAATTTTAAAACCAAAGAACCTCTCAAGGTTCCCAGAATGGGAGGCAACTTACACTCCACTTTTAACGTGAATGGATCTTGTTTCACTGCCAAAGCCGACTTCTTCCAAGTCAGAAATTTCCTGATTTGTAATGTCAATAAACTTCCCACTTTCTAGGTCAGATTCAAACAGTGTGATAGAAGATTCTATAAAATTCTAAAAAGAGGAAGAGGAAAGGTAAGGAAAACATATGGATTTTGTTTTATAGACTGCAATATCTTAGCACAATTTTCACATACTTGGGATAATTTCACACAAATAACTCCAGGGAAAATTTTAAATGGAACTGGAAACAATCTTAATAGTGACTACTCTTCAATAGTTTAAAGAAAAAAAAAAGTCTAGGGTGCCTGGGTGGCTCAGTCGTTAAGCGTCTGCCTTCGGCTCAGGTCATGATCCCAGGGTCCTGGGATCGAGTCCCACATCGGGCTTCCCGCTCTGCGGGAAGCCTGCTTCTCCCTCTCCCACTCCCCCTGCTTGTGTTCCTGCTCTCGCTATGTCTCTCTCTGT